ACACACACACACACACACATAAATAAATAAACAAATAAATGAATGAATGAATGATTAAATAGATATTCCATCACGAGTGTTCAGATTCTACAAGTTTCTTTGTGAAAAGTTCAAATATGAGTGGCGTTCTGAAATTTCAACCCAATCTTCCTCTCTTTCTGACAGTTTAGCAGTGTCTGTGAAAATGAACGTGCTTCTTTTTGCCCCCGGGTTGCTTTTTCTTCTCCTGTGGGAGTTCGGTCTCATCAGAACAATCCCTAAACTTTCACTATGTGCAGCCATACAGGTAAAGACCACTTTTATAACTCAAAATGAGAGGCAATAATTTTATGGTACATTCATTTTTTTTTGTTTTGTTTTTTTGTTTACTACAGCTTTTACTAGGCCTCCCTTTCCTCTTAGAGAACCCTGTTGGTTACATGAGCCGGGCCTTTGATCTCGGCCGCCAGTTCATATTCAAGTGGACGGTGAACTGGCGCTTCCTGCCCGAGTGGCTCTTCTTGAATCGCTACTTTCACTTGGTGCTGCTGGCAGCTCACCTGCTCACCCTGCTGCTTTTTGCTTTCCGCCGCTGGAAAAGGTGAGACAGGCTTCAGTTGTGCGTCAGGGTTCCTTATGAGCTGTGCCAGGCCAGAAATGCTGATCCTGGACTCTGTTCAAAKATTATCTAATACAATTTGGCGCTGTTTTAGAGTACTGTTTGTTTAGAGGTCATGCTGGCCTGTTTGGTTATCAATCGTTTGCATTTTAGGCCTTCATATACTGTTACTACTTTTTAAAGCTCATACTAASAACAGTTTTTCTTTTACCAGACCAGGAGAAAACATCTTTGAACTCCTGAAAGAACCAAGCAAGAGGAAACTCCCYGTTCAGAGCAGCACTGTGGATCATATCCTTCTGTTCCGTCTACATTGTAGCTTTTTGTTATGTTGAATTGATAGAATTGGAATCTGCTTTATTAGTTTATATAATCAACAGAAAAGTCCTGTTAGTCTTTTTTATTGCCTACTAAATAAATAAAATAACTGATCTAGGGCTGGGCAGTATGAGCACAAATTTATATCTTGGTATAAATTGAATCCCTTCACGGTAACGGTATATATCGCGGTAGAAAATTGTCATAAAAAGTAAAGATAATGTAATTT